CTATACGGCTGTCCGGCTGTCCGACTGTCTGCCGGCTGTCCCTCTATCTGCATGTCTCTTTCCAGCACTCACTCGTTCGCTCTGTGTGCGTGAGTGGACACCATTTGCAATTTTCACACTCGTTTTTCCTTGCTTCGTTTTGGAGCATTTTAAAAGTCTTTCTCTGCTCTTTTTTTGTCTCGGCCGCGTGGAGGGAGCCAGTCATGCAGATTACAATCGAAATGACATGAAAATGTTTGGTGTGGCACTGGGAGACAAAAAAAAAAAGCAAGAGTAGAAAGAAATCTGAGCAAGAGTAGAAATGGAAGTAGAAGCAGCAGCAGCAGCAGCAGCAGCAGCAGCAGCAGCAGCAGCAGCAGCAGCAGCAGCTGCTGCAGCCACAGCCGCAGCAGAACAGAACTGAAGAGAGCAATCGGCTAGCTAAATGTGTGGCACATTGAGCCAACAAGAAATTGGCCTGCACGCCCTGGCCCCGCCTCGCCCACCCACAAAACAAGCTCCACTTGCCATTGGAGATAATGTCTGCCATGTCGCCATTAGAGGCAAGAACGTGCAAGAACGTGCAAGTCCCTCGAGCTGGTGTCTCTGTCTCGCCTGAGCAAGAATAATATCTTATTTGATTGCAATGCCAAATGCAATTTAAATATTTGCCAAGCGACATTGAAAATAACTAACACGAATACATATACATACATTTATGTATGTATGCAGTCGGAGCTAGTTGTCATAATTCTGAACAATTTCTGTTTATTTGCAGTGCAGTGTTGGAAACTGTGCTACAAATTAGTGTATTTATGCATGTTAATGAAGAGATGCCAGCTCAATTAGGAAATGTAAGCTTGACACTGCAGTTTGAATAGTTGATGCAGCTGCTGATGCTATGTATTTGTGGCTGAAATTCCTTAGAATATTTTACTTTTGCTTTTGTTTTTGTTCAAGCTGTGATTGTGAATTTATTAAGTAAGTTTTTTTAACAAATTTATAATGCAATTAAATTTTTTATTTTCAAATATATGTAATGATGATATTTTTTATGATAATAACAGTTATATCTATTAAAATTAAATTTGGCTTTCTTTAAATTATTAGTATTTATATATTAACATTATTTTTATAGTTCATTTATATATTTTAATTTATTTCTTTACTTATTTTATGTTTTCCATTTATTAGTTTAGTTTGTTTAATTTTTTATATATTTTTTTTTCATTATTTATTCTTTCTATGATTTATTTTATTTATTTATTTTATTTTTTTATTTATATATTTTGTATTTTATTTATTTATTTTATATTAATATTATTTATTTATCACATATACATATATATTTTTTCATATTTTGTACAGAGTGTTTTACCCAAAAACTTAAATTTTAATTAAAAAAAGTGAGTGTAACTATATTCTAATTCTTCTTTCTACTCTGTTCACCACCATTTCATATTCATAAATAACTAACCTTGCGTCTAAAGCGCTTCATAATTGAAAACATTTAAATACACTCTAGCTCACTTCAAAATACTCACTTTATGCATAAGACTGCATCGATTTAGCCATCAAATTGAACATTCAAACAAAGTGTGTTGCCTGCACATTTAGGTAGTGAATTGACCTATTTGATCGACTCGTAACCAAATCGCGCAGAATCGCATGGTCGACGCTTCATGGCAACGGTTGCCTGCCTGCCAATCAGCTGCAATTAACCCAGATACGAGGCATGCCAGCACAAACGATGGCAACAAGTAACAGTGCCACCAACTGTGCAACTGTGCAACTGCCAAATGGCAAGTGGCAAGTGGCACACTAAAAAATCACATTTGTATTTAATTATTGGAAATTAGAGCAGGAGTCTGCGAGAGTCTGCAGAGCCTGTGACTGCAAGGGGAGCAGCCGCGTTTTATAGACAGTTTGTAAAAGCATTTAAAGCACTTCGAGTGACAAACGGATAAAGAGAGAGTGTAAGAGATACAGAGAGGGATAGAGAGAGAGAGAGAGGGATAGATAGATAGACAGACACAGATGCGACTGGTTTGCCATCATTGAATCTGTTGCTGCTGCTGCTGCGACTGGAGCTGGAACTGCAATTGCTGCTGTTGCTGTTGTTGAATAAACTCAATCCAAGCATTAAATTACAGCCAATGGCGCCAATAAGTACAAACAAATAATCCAAAAGTGCCTGAGCGAGGCAGCGAACGGGTTTTCGCCATTGCCTTTGAAGCCAGCCCGCATGTTGCCTGCTTTCAGGCTGCTGCTGTTGCTGTTCCTGCTGCTGCACGACTCGCAATTCGCAGTTCGCAGTTCGTAAATTGATGTGCAAAGAAATTTGTGTGTTTGGCGTCAATAAATATTTTACTGTGTACTGATCAAAATTGCAAATCATCGGCAGCAACAAATTTAATGCAAATTATTGTTTGGCTCACAAACATTTCAGGTTTTGTGTGCGACAAATAATTGAGCTAATTAATTGGCAACAAATATTTCTCTCAGCCTGCACTTGTGCACCAGCCAGTAATTTTTGTAAATCGTAATGCCAACGGCGCTATAATAGACCAAAGCAAATCCGTTGGACTATCAAAATGCATTTTATTCAGTGCACACAAATTGGATTAAATTTATTTTGTGAAACAATAAAAAATTGCTTTTAAAATCCATTTATACCCAGCACGGACAAAGGGTTAGGGTGGGACGTGTAAGGCGTGAGCTGGGAAGGTTAATGTTGAAAGAGAGAGAGAGAGAGAGAGAGAGAGAGAGAGAGAGAGAGAGAGAGAGAGAGAGAAAGAGAGAGAGAGAGAGAGAAAGAG